CCAAGGGGACTTTCGGTTGGGGTGGTATAATCAATAAGGACAGGGTGTTTGACCTTGTTAAATCTTGAGAGTTTTTTTCTATATGGCATAATAAACGTATCTTAGGTTTTATCGTATTGTTCAAGACCGTTGTGAAGCACTAATGATTTAGGTAGCTTGGTTACCTACTCGAGATCGAGATGCTATCACACGTTATACCGCTGTTTATACAGTTTATTACATAATGAAACGACATTCCAATATTTAGCCAGTGGACAAGGTCACACGTATCGCATGTTAGGTATGAGAAGTGAGGGAAAATTTGTCAGTTCTCCCACATTCCTCATACTTGATAGTTTGTAATTTGTTATAACACGTATTTTGTGTAATAATGTGATAACATAGCTCATAAGTTCATTGTTATACTAACATATAGGATGCAAATCGTTGGGAGTCAGTGTCCCTCAAACTAAAAACTAACTTTTATATTATAACAATATAATTCTCACTTTCTATCTTCTGTGCTATATGTTTTCTGTGTTGCAGATCAAATTTCTAAGCGAAACTTTATAACGAACAAGATCATGGTGTTAAGTGCCAACTTGTGTAGGTACTCCATCCATGTCATATTACAAAATTGAAGACTGCGTGTTAGATAAAGATGTGTGGAAAGACGACATGGGTCTAGATTCCAAACAAAATTTGATTCAAAGTGTATTCCATAGCATTTAAGTTTGCTCGTTCTTCTCAAGGGAAGTCGGCGTAGTGAACGAGCAGTAGCTTAAATGTGACGTTTTCAAGCGAAAGTTTATTTTACAGAATAAACGATTCTTTGACTTTGACCATGAATGCCATTCGAAGACTCACGCTAGCGCCGCTGCCACCGTAGTGAAGGAAGGAACTCGTGATTTCTTTCGATATCATTTTAGTGAGAATAGCACAGGCCCAGGAATTACTATAGCGTCCTAAATACAGTCCATCTGCAGCCGCATGACTCGCCTTCCTTTTTTTAGTAGGTTTCTTAACCCACTTCCCCGCGAAGGAAGAGATAAATCTTTTATGTAAGTGAGTACTCAACGTCTAAATAGTAGGTCGTAATGGAGACACCACACTTATGGATTTAGAATCGGTATGAGCCAATCAAAAACGGTTTATGTCCAGCTCGGTCCAGTTTCAAAACACACAACGTCTTTTTTGCTCTATTGCATGGACGTAAAGATTTTTCTTAGTAGTAGTACCTAATATTAATGATATAGGTTGACACGTACGTTCTGTAGAGAACGAATATCATCTTCTTGCACTCAAGGCTCTAGCCGTTAACTTGTGGTTAACAAGTCTATTCTACAGATTTCAATTTCATTAACGTTTCTTTTGTATCGTTCGACTTACACTTTTTATACTCACTTAATATACTCGCGGCCAACAAGATAAATGAGTAATGTGTTACAAGAGCTACAAAAACCAATGTAGCGAAAATTAAACTTGTGTTTTTACGCTAACTTAATATCGTCATCACATATAATAGAAATATATTTTGGGAACACTAAAAAAGGTTGAATTATGATAACACCGTTCCTAAGTAGGTACTGGCCACATGTACCATAACGTTTAATCGAAATCAAAGACAATTGAAGTTAATCTTTTTTCAAATTAAGGGTGGTTGAAGGTTCTGAGTATGTGTGTCCCGTGATTGATATAAAAGATTGAATCATGGTTATTGTTAGCATCAAGATTCAATCTTTATTTAGGGGTTCTCTACATGTGTCCATGAGAGTAAAAGAGGTATATATATCGTGTACATAGTTTTAAGAATGTGTAACTTAGCCACAGTCTGGTACATTAAGTTACTGGTAATATTTCTAATAAATAGATGTGAATACACTGATGAAATGAATAAATGCTCATTACAAACTACACACGGCAAATAAAATAAATGATGTATAACGCCTATGGCGACACCTTACTCCTAATTAGCAATTATTAAATTTTTTTTATTAACTCTATTGGGCTAAGTAGGTATTAGAAATAGACGGAACAAATGCCAAATACAATGGCTAAACAGTCACCGCGCACCGTCCGTTATTATGCGTCGTATAATTTCCTGCCGTTCGCTCAACCATGATGCGTTCATTTGCCTCCAAATAAGTAACAATAGACGGTAATTGATATCAACGCTTTTTAAACCTAATGCGTTTACATTACCGATACCATAAACAACTAAGGTATGTATTTAAAAGGCTGCTAAAGTATTTGTGTAATGTCTGCATTTCGCGGAATTAAAAAACAATACTTTCTTGAAATGGCAACACGGATATTAATATCAAAAGTAGAACTGTAGCGCCTGCCTCAAGGTTAGACCAGTTCAGGGTCATAAAAGTGACCTGTCCGTAGCACGAGAGAGATTTTTATTGCGTTTACTTCTAGTTTCTTTTTTTATATTATACCTATTGCCAGTGCAAATTCCTTTCGCTTCTGCGTTCTACATTAAAATAAGAATTTAGGGCAAAAAACTACAATCCACCAGGCATAGATCTCGAATAAGGTGAGGGTTTAATTTCGTATTTTGCCACGCTGACCGAATGCGGGTTGGCGATTTTACGTGTTTATAAGGATGTTGAACCTTCTTCGTCATTCAGGTTTTATCACGATGTTTCCCTTTACCTTTAAACCTTAGGAGGTGCGGCTAATAAACATTCACAAGTAAACGTACATACATAATTTAGATATTGATGTCATGCATGGGCAATAGTTAAAATAACTATACAATCTTTCTTCCATCACTAGGCATCAAAGCAATTTACAATTTGTTTTGATCATCGAGTATATAACCAGAAATAGAGACGAAATAAGGACCATATATTCCTGGTAGCACATTAGCTATACAGCTCTTAATATCAACTCCCGTTTGCACTGAAATATAGAAAGGCCAACTACCGACCTGTGTGTACGTCTCCGTATATTCAAAAAAATATTCTGTATTTATTGTAATAAAGATAATATCTCTGACAATGCCGTGCTGTTCTATTCGGTGGTCTGGGGAAAACAGCAAAACATCTAATTACAAAACAAACAGAATTAGGTTTCATCGGTAATTAAATATGTAACTTTGCAATTTTCGTCCATTATAGCAAAGCTCAAGTTTACTGGTCGATTTGTAGTGAAACAGTCGACGACACCCGTCAATTGTTTCGAATTCGGGCTAGCCAATCGGAGCGCAGTTGTCACAGCAATGATATGGCAGAATAGCACAGACCACATAAATACTAGCCAGAATAGTTTTCAAACAAATTAAATGACATTTCGTCTCTATTTCTGGTTATATACTCGATGGTTTTCATACATGAAATGGATCCATTTGTCCATTGACTTACAATTATATGGACGTCGGGTCCGCGCTAAAAAGTGTCCGCACTTTTAAGGCGCTAAAATCGTATACAGAGCGCGACACTCCGCTTTAGTCTTCATTTGTTCTACTGACAGCGCGATACTGCGATGACATTACAATTTAAATTTCGAATAGGTTGACTTGGGACATTTTTTTCGTGGTTTTTGTATTAGACCCGTCGTCCATTCATTTGTAAGTCAATGCATTTGTCCAATAAAAATAGTTGCATAAAAGCACATAATACCATTTCATTTCCTCGCAATCGAACAGCACTATGTGTTCAACATCGCTGTTCGAATTACAGCCGCCAGATGTGTTACATAGATCGTGTCTCATGTGTAAAACGTTAAAACGTAAAATACGATTTTTTTTAAATAATATAACGTGTCATTTCTCTTCATTGTGGCAATTAGGTAATCGCCAAAATGAAGAGAAATGACACGTTATTTTATTTTTATGCTATTTAGTGCTGTAAAAAACTGCAAAGTTGTTTGAAAAGTAATCTATACGATATACCTACTGACCAAATTATAATTAAGCTATGCATTCCGCGTGTATGTGAATGCATTGAAAGCGAGGTTTTGGAAACGCCATAAGTAATCGCCATATTTGTCAACGCGGTATTGACCTTTTTTTAAGATACCAAATGACAGTGTTAAGCGACAGTCTTGTCCATAGCAGATGCAGTGCCACTCTGAACTTTAAATCGCAAAGATCTAAGGGATACTGCCACTGCGCCAGTCATCCTGATTGAGACTTACGTTGACAAGTCCCATGGGCCTGTAATTTCACCAGCACCCTTACCCTTCAAAATCGAAACACAGTAAATGCTCACATTACTGCTTGGTGGCAGAAATAGGTAAGGTGGCAGTACTTCCCTGGACGAACTCTTTGACAACGAGCTCTACTGCTTTTAAAACTGAATTTACCCATCGTTTACAAAGTCTCAGTTGGTTATATTTTATTATTTGGCTATAGTTTAGTAACATTTTTTGTACAAGTACCTAACTGACTTACTTACTTTTCAATTATTGTTTCCGTAGATTTTTAGGACAAACAATTCCTAAAAATTATGAATTAACGACAAAGATAAAGTACGTCAGACTACTCCTCACTAGAATTCATGAATAAATCATCTCAGTCGTAGAAGGTTAAGTATGGTTACTCCTTAAGCTGACCAGCCGTCGACACAGTAGATCGGTGGGTTTATTTAGGTAGTTGTCATTCCCATGAGTTTTGCAATTTCCTCAAGCATTTTCTTTGCAAACTTAGGGTTGTATTCCAGAACTCTACTCAATACTCAAGTCAGGAATTGAGTATTGCAGTGAACACTGAAAATTATACTCAAGTCTGCTTAAATCCTGACTTGAGCATTGAGTAAAGTTCTGGAATGCGACTCTCAGTCACTGAACTTTCAAAATCAAAGTCAGGAATATCATGTAAACAACAATAATTGCTAAATTACTTTTTTTTTCAGTCACTAACAAACGCGTGGCTTCAACAATTTATTTTATTACTTTAATCATCGTAAAAGTTGTTAATTAGCTACTTAAAAACTTTGAATGTTTGAACAAGGCATGACTTTTTTTAACTCTTGCAATACTTACTCACAAACGTCAATGTCATTATCGCCTGATTCGCGGGAAGTTTTCTATTGTTATCATAATGTTAAAGTATAGTTGATTTATGATTGTATTCGTTGTTACTACTGTGTTAAATAACATAATTAAACCAAAAATGTTACAAATACCAGATCATGTTCGCCAAGTTTTAGTTACATTAGTTCCAGCGGCTGTAATTAACGAGATATCTTGCTTTAAATTTTACGATAACCACCCTCGCGATGTGAAAAAACTCGATGTTATTCTTTGTACATTACGAGGTGAATTGAAAGAATATTACAATCGGGAGCTTGTATGTTCTACAATTATCGAAGATTGTGGAAGCCCCTCAAATATAATCTTATACAGGAACTCGAAAGGTGACCTTTTTTACATAGTAGCAACAAGTAATAAATTATTCATATTTACTAGAAAAAATACTATTCAGCTAATAGAACAGGTGAACAATGTAGACACATACGAATTGGACGATTCGTCATGCAATGGGCAAGCATGTCTAAAAATTGTATACACTTACGACGCAGTGCCTTTATACTTTGATGAAAACTTTTTAACTCTAGATTATGGCTTGAGGTATTCTCACACAACCGATGAGTCGTTGCCCATATTAACTGAGCTTATGACAAAGTTGACAGAAGCAAAATATAGTCTAATCTGTAATGAAAAAGCTTACAATGAATTGTCAAATTTGAGACAGATTGCAGCCTATTATGTGTATCAGAAAAACATGCCCGATTTTCAAGATTCCCTTTTTGTAGATGAGAAGAATGTTATTCAGGTATGTATGTTTGTCCAGGGAAGTACTGCTACCTTTCCTATTTCTACTGCCGTGCGGTAATGTGAACATTATAGCGTTCCAGTTTTTAAGGGTTACGGTGCCTGTGAAATTACTGATACATGACGTGTGTCATCTCATCTCAAGGAGTGGCACTGCAACTTTTATGGACAGTGTCTATTACCACCAAATGCATGACTCATTCATTCTGTCACTTTGTATCATAAAACAAAACATTATATTTTTTAAACAATATAGCATTACATTTTGTACAAACAAGTCCTGTGCCTGGTAATATGCGATACTCATGGCCGTTGCAATGCCATTTAGGCTTTAAATTGCGAAGATTTGAGGGTCACTGCCAGTGCATCTATTGCCCTAAGTCAAAGTTGACTAGTCCCACATGCCACAAGTTTCACTAGCACCATTACTCTTCTAAAGTGCAACTCATTAATGATCACATTTCTACTTGGTGGCAGAAATAGATATGGATCACAAGGAGTTAAAAACTAGTAATTATTATAATAATATGTAATGATGGCACTTCATGTTTGGATGTTTTCAGGATGTTTGTATTTGCATATTTGATATATTTGACAAACAATCACCTTGTGTATATAATACCATGTGTTACAAAGTATTTACCTTGTTTACTTATTCGACAAATACAACAAACACCAAACTTGCGTTCTCAACGCACATCAAAGGAGCCCAATAGGCAACATGCAAGTGAACTGCCTATTATTATTAGGGTGGGTTAATTCGGGGCATATGTACCCCCTCATCACTGCAACCATCAGCTGAGCTTGCCTGGTATCGACAGATTTAATGTCCTCTGGTTGTGGAAGTGAACCGCCGACACACTATGGTCATTATAACTCCTTATTTGGCTCTTTCTGTAGACGGTTATATTTGTTAGTGTTTGCATATTTGTCTGTGTGTCAAATATTTTTCCAATTACAATAATTGGGTATTTGTTGTAGCGAATACAAATATCCACATCAAGAGCCACCATAAAAAATGTCAAACACAACAATATCAAATGAAACGGGCGGCCTTATTGCATACAAACAGTCTTTGCCCAAGACTTTTATAATGTTAAAATAATTTCAATATTAAATACATCCAAGTAGTTAAATAAAACTATACAGGGTGTCTATTAAGTTAACATCAAGCCAGAACAGGGATGTCAAAGAGGTCATGGCCTACAAAAAAGCCCATGGTACTATGGTAATATTCCTAACGGTTTTTTTCTAATTAAAGATTTTACACATATTACACATAATAATCTCACATAATAATTTTTGGAAATGCCTTACTCAAGTGAAGAATATGCTCTCATGCACTACATTTATGGCGAGTGTCGTGGAAACGGCAGTCAAGCTGCCAGGGTGTACAGAGAGTGGTATCAACATCTATGTCCTAACCGCCAGATCATCAAGTTTTTATAAACACGCATCGTGAATGAACACGTGGTGTATTTATTTCGGTGTATGAATTTAGCATAAATTTGTGGGTCGGCTTCACAGCTTCTCGAATGATTGGCCCACACAAACTACCTTCCAAAGTAACTGTTGCAGTGTACTTGCGTCATCAGCAAGACCACCGCCATAAGATACTAGGAGGTGAAGAACCAGAAGAACAATTAGTCTACCAGCACGATGGTGCTCCTTCGCACTTCGGTATAGCTACGGTATAGTACGAAGGCAACTGGACTTATTTAACTGGACTTAAATAGCGCCTTCGCAGCTCTCCGTGGGAACCCTCAAATGCGGGCCATGATTAGGCGGTGCAGACTGTGTATTAGGCCGTCATTTTGAACATTTATTGTGAAAAATGTATAAAAATGTAAATTGCAATTGTTATAAAAATAAAAATTTGATTTTCAAATATTTTATTCCTTAATTTGAAGTCAGAAACCACCGCCACGAGCGTCACTAACCATCTTAGACACCAAAATCACAAAAAATTGGGTTTTTCATACTTAGCAAATATCCCGTTTATTGCTGTAATGTTGACCTGTTTGATGAAATTTTGAATAATACCGTAATTAAAGTAGATAGGTACGTAATTTTTTTTTAGTAATTAGATGAATAAGTAGACAAGTTTTTACAATTAAGTGCAGATGCGGTGTCATACGTTTTAAATTTTTTTAACACACCCATTCAAGTAATTAAAAAAAATTGGTATTTTTTTTCATACTTCTTGATATTTTTAATACATTCAGTGAGGAATTTAATTTAACACTTAGCTCATTAAAAAACAGATTGATTTAAGATAATAAAAAGAAAAAGAAGAATACAAAAAGACAATTATGTTTGAGTACAGTTGCGTCCAAAGGTGTAAAAACGTAAAAATCGTAATGTGCATAAAATGTGCAAAAAAAACCGTTAGGAATATTACCATAGTACCATGGGCTTTTTTGCAGGCCACGACCTCCCTGACGTCCGTCCCCGTCCCGCTTGCCGTCGACTTAATAGACACCTTGTATATTTCACAATTATGTCACTATAGGTGTAATGTTATAAAATATTCATACACTTTAGTGTTTATTGATATTTATTGTTGATATGTTTTAATTTCTGCTTTTTTAGGACCAAAAGTCAATAAATATCAAAACTCTAAAACCATGGGTCAAAATGTGCAATAAGAAGATTGTTATAGTTGTTGAAGTTTTAAATACCAATGAAGTGTAAGTACTCAATTTTCAAGTGGAGAATAATAAAATAAGAC